TGATTGCCAGCTCCAGCCGGAGCAGAGTTGTATTGGGAAGGGGAAAAGTCCAATCACCCTGATTGCCAGCTCCAGCCGGAGCAGAGTTCTATTGGGAAGGGGAAAAGTCCAATCACCCTGACTGCCAGCTCCAGCCAGAGCAGAGTTCTATTGGGAAGGGGAAAAGCCCAATCACCCTGATTGCCAGCTCCAGCCAGAGCAGAGTTGTATTGGGAAGGGGAAAAGTCCAATCACCCTGATTGCCAGCTCCAGCCGGAGCAGAGTTCTATTGGGAAGGGGAAAAGTCCAATCACCCTGATTGCCAGCTCCAGCCATAGCAGAGTTCTATTGGGAAGGGGAAAAGTCCAATCACCCTGACTGCCAGCTCCAGCCAGAGCAGAGTTCTATTGGGAAGGGGAAAAGCCCAATCACCCTGATTGCCAGCTCCAGCCAGAGCAGAGTTGTCAGGCAGAGGAGGAGTCCAGTCACCCTGACTGCCATCTCCAGCTAATACAGAGTTGTGTCAGGCAAGGGAGGAGTCCAGTCATCCAGACTCCCAGCTCCAGCTAATGCATATATGTGTCAGACAGGGAAAGAGCCCAGACTCCAAGCAGAGCAGAGTTTTGTTAGGCAGGGGAGGGGCCCGGTCATCCAGGTTCCCTGCTCCAGGCAGAACATAGTTGTGTCAGGCAGAGGACTGACTGGCAGCCCCAGCTAGTGCGGGGGACAAGTCTGGTCATCCTAATTGATGGCTAGGAAAATGCTAAGAGGAGGGGAGACCACAGGGTTGGCCTGATCAGTTGGCTGCTGCTCCTTCATTATCCATTCAGCATGTTGCAAATGAGGAGGTGACACCACAGTAATCCTTAACTGTAGCAGATGTCACCCTTCTGGGTATTTAGTGTGGTAGGTTTGTGTGAATCCGAAGAGTGGCTGAACAGAAGCAAGTGAATAGTGTGTGTGTGTGTGTGTGTGTGTGTGTGTGTGTGTGTGTGTGTGCATGTATATTAATTGATTGAATTGTACATTTAGATGTTTGTTGGAGTTCAGCATTTCCTGTGTGAGACTGATGATAAAATATCTGGCTCTCATTTCAGTATATGGATAAATCACTATAAAGAAATTCTATGAATCTTTGATCATTTAGGAAGAAATCATGAGCCCTGTGTATATTTACCTTAATGTGGACCTGAGCTTTGCTTAAGCAAGACAAAGCAACAGGTTCATTTTGCTTTCTCTTCGCTCCCCCAATGCTCCATTTGCTGCAGGGAAGAGGAGAAATGCCTGGTAATTCTGGGTAAGGTGGAGCAATTTACTTGCTTCCCTAAGTTCCATGCACATGACAGGGCTGGTGCTTGATGAGGGGCTGCTCAGACATCCAGTGCCATCACATGAGGGAGATAGTCCCCAGCCCTGTATAAGCTCTGACCAGGATTGAGGATTGAACCTTACACAGTCTCAGCAATGAATGGAGCAGTGGG